ACACACGACGACACACACCGACTTGAGTGCGTGTGCGACGAGGAGAGAAATGGGTGGGTGTGGCCCGGACCTGCGTGCGTGGCGAGTGGGGCTCGTCTTGCAGTGGGCTGACCGCGGTCGGGCTGGGCGGCGTCGGGCGTCGCGGAGGCGGCTGCGGCCGGTCGGGTTGCGAGCGCGCAATGGGCCGGGCGGGCAGCTGCGACGTCGCCGACGTAGGCACGACTCGCCCCGTGTCCGACGCATAGAGCGGCCCTGCAGCCGGGACCGGCCTGTCGCTTCGCGGCGGCGGCAGAACGCTCCGCGGCCGGGAGCGCCCGAGCTCAGAGCTGGCAGCTGAGGCGGCGTCGGGCGTCGACACAAACGATGACGTGGCATCGCCGTCGCCGACGGCGTGCGGCTCCTCGATCCAAGGGGCCGACGTGCGGGGGAGCGTTGCTGCCTCGCCTCGGCGCCGCATCGTCGGCTGCTGCTGCTCGGCGGGACTGTTTCCCTCATCGTAGTTGATGGCGGCGGCTTCGGCGGTGGTCGAGGTGTCGTAGCTGCTTCCGTCCCACTCGGCTTCGGCCTCGCCATAACCGTCACCATCGCCACCAATCCCACCATCGTCACCAATGCCACCGTCGCCGCCAATGCCGCCATTGCCATCACCATCGCCGCTAATGACGCCATCGCCGCCGCCTTCGCTGTACGGCGCGTCGGGTTCGGAATAGGCGTAGGTCTCTGCGCAGCGCGGCGACCAGGATCAGATATTATAATGACAATATTGACATTATTATCAATAATAATGATTTTGGGGTGGGGGTTGGGGGGGGGGGCATGCGCACCGCTGCTTCCCTCGTTCACGGCGCCGGCTCCCTCGTCGACCAGGCTGCCGACCGTCTGGAATTCCTCCAAGCGGAAGCCTGCCACGACCAGTGACCGTCAGGCAACTCATCAGACGACCGACCGACCAAAACAGCAACGGCTGATGAAAAGAAATGCGCGTACCGAGTTTCACGAGGAACCGGTAGTTGAGAGTGTCGACTTTGGAATCCTCCAATGCGAAGACGAAGAAGATGCCCTCGCTGAGCAGCTTCTTGCTCGCCTCGACCACCAAGAGGCTCGAAAAACCTGGCAGTGGTGGGCCAGCCGCCCGTGCGCAGCGTTGAGTGTGCGGTGTGTGCGGTGGTGCGGTGTGTGCGGTGGTGCGTGTGTCATTGGTGGCGTGTTGCACCCTGACGTCGCTTCTGGGGGACGGTGTAGATCATGGAGATCTCGGCACTGGCGTCTTGCTTGACATCGCCCAGGAACAGCATGGCCACGATGCCGTAGTTGTTCTGGCGGGTCTTGGCCGCCAGCGACGAGTCCTCCAGGAGGTAGACCTTGCCCTCGTTGATGCACGAATTCACCACGAAGACGTCTCCGCCCTGCTTACCCCTCCGAGGCGCGTTGTCCTCATCGCCCACCCCTAATCCGGTTTCGTCAGCTATCGCCGTAGAGCCATCTGATGGCTCGGCACCACACGACACACGACACGCACACGACCCCCCGCGCGCGAGGTGGAGTACCTTTGTAGCCACCGGGCACGCGGTCGTACATTTCGTCGAGGAAGGAAGTGTACATGAGGGCGATAGTGCCAGAGTCCTGGGGTGTGGCCTTGCGTAGTTTGCCGGGCGGCTTCTTCAGCTTCTTCGGGAAGCGGGGCATTTCCTGTGCTCGGAACAGTGGAGCGGAGCGGTGCTCGAGCGATCAGTGATTGTGTGCGTGTGGTGTGCGTGTGCGTGTGCGTGGCGTGTGCGTGTGCGTGTGCGTGTGCGTGTGCGTGTGCACGAATAATACCTGTACGCCGTACACGCGCTGTTCGCGCTGTGGAGTGTATTTGAACCCAGTGCTGTCTGCCCACAGCTGACAGAACTCATTCACCACCCGCGCCGGACCGGCCACACTTTGCAGGAGACCGAAGAGGTGTAAATGTAGGAAGAAGGAGAAAAAGCGAAATGATGGCTGCTCTCTACCTGTTCTGGGGGAACCTGACGTTGTTCGCTAGCAGGTAGTCAACTGCACGATATATTGGCATTGTATTATATTATTTATTTGTTTTTTGTGATTTTTTTGATCAAAAAATATTATTGATTACAAACAAAGATGAAGGGGTGTTGTGGTTGTACCAATGGGTGCGGTGGTGCCTGGTGGGCCGTCGAAGAGGAGGACCCGCACGTTGGCGAGAAAGGCCACTACGGCCGCTGTCACCACCTCCCCTGTGGGCGTGCCGGGTTGCGACTTGTTGATGCTACGCTTGGAGGGGTCCTCGACGGTGAGCATGAACGCCTTACCCCACTCTTCGAGCGGCAGGAAGCCCATGAGGAGCTCGGTGATAACGGATCGCTGCAGGACATGATCGATCCTCTGAATGTAGTCGTTGCCATCTTCCCAATTGATAATCTCCAACTTCTGCTCTTCCATTCAAAGGGTGGGGTTGTGTTTTTAACTCGTTGATGGTGTGCACCGCGCCGTCCCCGAACCAAGAGAAGCAGACGAGCGTGTCCGTTGGGGTCACGTGGGTGTTGCCTTTTCTTATATCTTAACCTAAGCCCCCAACAAAGAGTTTGCCCAGAGCACGCGCCTTTCTCTCTCGCCAGTGGTACACCCAGCAGCTACGCTCAAGCTCACCACCTCATTCGTGTTTCTTTCCTTCATGAAGACGAGCGCCACATCAGAGGCGGTGCTTGCAAGAATGCAGCTGCGCCAGCTTGAACTCACAACCATCAACAGTATTGGCATTTTGTACCAAAAGCCGAATTGTAGAGGGTGGGTACAGTTGTGGTGTTACAGTTGGGTTGTGTTGTGGCGGTGGACCGCGTGGGCTCGCGAGAAGCTTCGCGCGGGCGGCCGCTTGCCGAAGCCCTCGCAACGAAAATTGGGTTTGGCACTGAGAGCACCCACGGCAACGCCAACAAGAAGAGCTTCGGTGGGTGCGGCCTGGAGAAGGAGAAGAGAACCAACGACAACGAGAAGAGAAGGGACTAGTGTGTATATGGTGAAGCCAGGGGCTGTTTGGTCGCCGGCAACAGAAAATGGAGAAATTCATCGATTCAGAAACGTTGAGCGAGATGAAGGAGGCGTTCGGGGTCTTTGACCAAAATGGCGACGGGCGCATCTCAGATTCTGGTATGGCCCAGCTCCTCTTCGTGTGCCCACGTTTCAACTCTAAACATTGCTCACAGAACTGAACACGGTGCTTACCACGATGAACAACGGCACACCGCCCGACCCATCCTTGCTCCAGCAGATGATCGCTGAACTGGTGCGTAAGCTACTCCCTTGATTCTTCATCCATCGATTCCATTGAGATTGTTGATGGAGAGGCCGCTGAATAGAGCTCATTTTTTATTACCTTGGTGGCGGTGGCGGTGCAGGATATCGATGGCAACGGTACGGTGGAGCTGGAGGAGTTCCTCCAGTGGAGCATTCGCAACAAAGAAGCGAATGGCGCCGAGCAGCAGCTGCGAAGCGTGTTCGATGTCTTTGATAAGAACAAGGATGGCTTCATCGACACCAGCGAGCTCACCCAGGTACGCGGACGGAGGCCCTCATCCGCGCGAGCCATTCTCTCTCTCATCGAGCGGCGGCTGTCGTGATTGCGATCGCAGGTGATGGCAGAGATGGGCGAACGGCTGTCGGCCGGGGAGATCGCGGAAATGATGCTCACCCACGACCTTGACAGTGACGGTCTCATCTCGTTCGAGGTAAGCCTGCGCCGTTGCTGACAAGTGTGAAATGGCCTTTGCGCTCATGCACGCTGGTGTGTGGCACACTCCTGCGCTTGACCAGGAGTTCATGATCATGATGACGGGCAAGGGGAAGAAGGATTTCATCAACAAGATGAACCAGGCGATACTTGAAAAGGAGGAGGAAGAGCGCAAGCAGAGAAAGGAGGAGAAGAAGGAGCGAAAGGAGAGACGAAAGAAGGAACGAGAGGAGAGGCACCTCAGAAGGTGTGCCAGAGCCGAACGGAAGGAGCGAGAGAGGCAGCAACAGCAGCAAGAAGAAGAGGAGAACCACGACTGACAGTCTCTGTTTTTATTTATTTATTGTAATTCAGAATATTTTAGTTGTCGACTTCGTTTTGGCGGCGGGTTCGAATCCGGGCCAAAGCCGAGAAGGAAAGCACCGAAACAACGAACAGCCAACGCAGAGGCTACACAAGAATTGGAGAATGGATTGGCCGCCGATGGTAAAGCGAGAGGGGTTCGCCTGTCTCGCGACGGCTGGTGTTGCCCTGGCCTTCTTGCCTTTCGTTGTGGCTGCGGGCGAAGGCCAAATTGATGCTCCAGATGTGGCCGTGCGATCTTCCTTCTTCTACTGGATGCTCGACTCATTCATGTGGGCCGTTGCTCTCTATTACATCCTCACGCGTCGTGCTGCCTTCATCGAGCTTTTCCAACGCTTTATGGTACATTCCCGAGTAGAGGCTTCAATTATGATGATAGATGAGGCACCCTCGTGTCTACCTTATTCGCGTGTGGGCCAGTTCTCAATCCAATTCATCTCTTCAGTTGAGGCAAGATGAGCTGACCACCCAAATCGATGAGATCGAGCTGAAGGCCACGGAGCTGGCCGACGAGTATGAAGAAATCGCCAAGCATCTACCCAACATTCGTGGCACACGGCACAGCGCCAAACTCATCGGCATCCTCACCGCGGTTGACGCCGCCACGCGGCGTATGCTCGATTCGCTGCCCCTCCCATCATCCCCGGCCAAGAAGGATGACGGCGGCGGTGACTCGAGTCTCTCGGTCAGCCGCGAGGACGGCGAACCTGACGCGGTGGCCCCGCACGACGTTGTGGCACAAGTCGCCTCGTCCGACGAAGGCGAAGACTCGAGCCCTGCCATGCCCGCCGCTCCCGCGGCGAAGCCAAGCGCCGAAGGTGCTGCCGTGGAAGCTCAAGAAGGGTCCGCCGAAGAGGACCAGCGCGCACCGACCAAGGCCGAGGACGCCAAGGAGCCGCTTGTGAAGAGCGCGGAAGAGAACGACGATGGCCACAACAATGACGATGACCAAGGCGGTGAAAGCCCGATCGAAGATTCAGGGAGCGAGAAGAGCGATCTCGGCTACACGCCCGACTCACGGAAGACGCCGAGCGTAGCGACAAACCCGCTCCCCGGGGAGGACGCACATGAGCAGCAGAGCGAAGACGACGAGGAGCGGCCCAACGGCTCTTCGCCAGGTGCAGCCAATGCCCCGGGCGCTTCTGCGGCGCGGCGCAAGAGAAGACTCCGAAGCCGTCGGAGCGTCAAGTGCAGAGGTAAGTGGTTGGATTGATGCCATTCTGCCCGATGCCACCATGCCACCAGGCCTTGCGAACACCTTTGCTGACTTTAGATTGTGCTCCACGCAGCTGGTGAGTACGATGACACTGTGGGCGAGGTCGACCTGATGCGCAGCGGAAGCGAGCCCGACAGCGATGCCAGCGAGCACAGGTCCTCTGATACGAGCGTTGGTCTCGGCGAGCCTCTGGATCCTTCATCTCAGGTGCTGACCCTTGCATCCGTCATTGAGCTCTGGTCACAATTCTTACTTTTTCGCTCGCTCGCTCGCTCGCTCGCTCGCTCGTGTGTGTGATGTGTGTGTGTGCGTGTGTGTGCGTGTGCGTGTGTGTGGTCAGTTCGTTAACGAGGACATGCGCATGGGTGGATCCCCTTCACGGCCGCACCATCGCAAGAAGAAGGAGAAGAAGCCCAAGACGAGGAACCTCAAGAGATCGAGCAAGAAGATGGGTCGCTCCAAGGAAGTCCTTCAGTCCGTCTTCACCGAGGAAAGCGAGCGACGAGGCGCCAACAGGGACGAGAGCTACTCCGAGGGCGGCGATGGCGAGGGCGAGGATCAGCGGGACAAGCTGCTCCGAGAGCTGTCCCAGGCCGAAGCCGAATCAGTCAACGGCCAGGGACGTGTCGACCTCGACGCACTCAAGGCCGAACTCGAAGGCGCCAGCCTGAGCGAAGACGACAAACTGGTCGACGAGCGCATGGAGAAGATGGTCGAAGAGGAAGAGGAAGACGTGAGCGACAGCTGGCGGAACCAAAAGGACAGCAGCAGCGACGAGTCGAGCCACGGAGAAGCGGAGGAGAAGAGCGACTTCATGAAGCTCGTAGAGGAGGGTAACGACGACGACAACGACGATGACGACGAGCCAGGCAGGAGTCGGAGCTCCAGCAGGAGCAGTAGCCGCAGCCAGAGCCGTAGTCCGAGCCGGAGCCGGAGCCCAAGCGGGAGCGATGACGAACAACAGTCGGCGCTCGACTCGCTCAAGGCGCAGCTCGACGGCCTCGACTTTGGCGACGACACTGGACCGCGGCCATTCCGGTCCGAGTCGTTCACCTCTCTGCAGAACCAGCTCAAGGGCCTGGACGACCTCGGCAGCTTCGGCCAACTGGACTCGCTCGCCGCGTCCGCCGGAGGGGAGAGCGAGGAGGATGAGGTGGAGCAGCGAGCCAGGCGATTGGATCAGCGCGACGATGACAGCAGCTCCGAGGAAGAGCAGAAGAAGGAGAAGGAGAAGAAGGACGAAGGGAACAAAAGGGCGACGGGGCTTGGAGCTTCGCCACTCTCGTCCAAATCTTCGACGCTGAAGCGACGTTCGATCCTCGACGTGTTCGACAACAACTACGAAGGCCCGGGCGAGGGCCAAGCTGCGCAGAGGCAGCAGCCGCCTGCTCCCCCGGTGGAACGAGGCGACAGAGCGGTGCGGGACATTGCGGCGCGCGAGGACATCAACGTCTCCGGCCTGCGACGTGCCAAGAAGACGCCCACCACCTTTGGCAGCATGAACCGTGGCACCAAGAAGAGCATCAGGCCGCAGTACGACATGGAGGTACTACACGAACCTATCTGCAATTGGAAACGGAATTCGAAAAACTCAAACGTGTTTCGTTGCGTGTCGTGTCTAGGATGCCCACACGGTGGTGCACCCCTTCTTCGAGGACGAGGGCAGCGCGTTCATCGCTGTTCTGGATGGCCACGCCGGCATGGCGGTCGCACAGGAGGGCGTCAAGCTCTTCCCGCAAAAACTGAAGGTACGAAAGCGGATACGGCTGCCGCATCGTCGGGCTTGCTGGACGTAACTCATCGACATTGTTTCCCAAAGGCTTACTTGGATGCAGGCAAGCCGTCGGATCATAACCTCGAAGACGTGCTCAAGCAAACATTCGCCTCGGTTGATGCGGAGCTCACGGAACACGAGTTCGTGGTATGTACTCTCTGTGCGTGCGTGTGCGTGCGTGTGCGTGTCGTGGCGCTAATGGTTAAATCGCGGCGATTCCTTCGCAGGGAGCAACGGCAACGGTGGTGTTTGTTTGGACCGTGGAAGGTAAGCGGTATCTGCAGGCAGCCAACGTGGGCGACTCTGCTGCTTTCCTCCGGTACATTTCTTTTCGCAGGCGACGCGCGAGCCGGCGGATTTTTAGATTACTCACCCCGCTGACTGCCCAAACAGACGCGGCAATCAAACGGTCAAGCTCACGTATGACCACAAGGTCACGGACGAAGGAGAGAGGGAGAGGCTGGTCGGTATGGGCGTTGAGCTCAGCGCTGGCGCCACTCGCATCAATGGTACCTCACCGTGTTATGCCGCGCGCCTGCGCTTGTATTCCATGAAATCGC